CCTCGGCCTCCCAAAGTGCTGGGATTACAGGTGTGAGCCACCGCGCCCGGCCCTTTTTGTTTTTTTTTTTAAGCCTGGAGGTTGGCAGCTCCAGGACTACATCAGGTGCTCAGTGATACCATCAAAGACCCAGGCTCTCTCTGACAGCCTCTCAGCAGTGAGGCCTTAGGCCTACACGTCATGGCTGCTACCACACCAAGCTCTCTGCCTTCACACTAGTGCCTAGAAGGAAGGTAAAGGCATAAGGAAGGAAGCTTTTGCCTGATAGGCTCTATTGTTTTTCTTCAGGGAAAAAAAAAAAATTCCAAGTGCACAACAGACTTCCCTTTTATGTTATCATCTGGAGTTGGGCCACACTCCCTATCCTAGGCTAATCCTGATGATGGGCAATGGGATTCCCATCATGATTTAAGCTCTGGGTGCCTCCATGGTTGCTGACCAAAAAAGGAAGAAATAAATAAATAAATAAATAAATATGTTATATACATATGTATATAACACATATATATTCAAATGAAAGTTCATATATTCACAGGCAGTATCTACATACACATATATTTCTTTTCTATATATATAGTCAAAAGAAAATTCAGCAGTTTATATACGTATACTCACAGTGAGAATTGTGTATGCGTGTGTAAACTGTATTTTTTTTTCTATTATATATACATAGTCACAGGAAGATTCAGAGAGCTTTACTTTTCCAGGGAGAAAAAAACAATTTTTCCCTCAATCAAACATAATTTTTAGCTGGGATACCTATAAGAAAAGACAGATTAATAAGAGAAAAATAAACAAGTTTATGAATGTCCGTGACATACATCAAACAGAAGAAACCTCAAGGAAACATATCTCAAAGCAGTGGCTTAGAACTCTGGCTTATATAGCATCTTTAACAAAGAAGAATAAAATTGTGGGGAAGTGACAGGACAAAAGAAAGCAGTCCTAGGCTTCCAGCAGCGGGGAACTATGGGAAGGTAAGTAGGTGAGAGGAGATTAATGGAGTGAGGCTTGTCTGCAGACTCCTCTGTGTATCCCTGGGCTGTTGAGTCTAGAGCTATCTCCAGTAAAGGAGAATTTATATCCTGTCTTTGGGCAGAGAAGGGGAAGGATACAGAGTTTTCCTTTTTTTGCTGTCTTCTAATTGTCTTTAGATCAGAAATAATTTTTATGTCAAAAAGACATAGTTTGAAGTGGCATATTCTGGTTTCATTCAGCTTGACATGAACATTTTTTTGCTGGGTGTTTTTGTTTTTGTTTGTTTGGTTTTTGTTCTTTGTTTTTTGTTGTTATTGTTTGTTGTTTGTTTTGTTTTTTTTGAGACAGGGTCTTGCTCTGTTGCTCAGGTTAGGGTGCAGTGACACAATCTTGGCTCACTGCAACCTCTGCCTCCTCAGTTCAAGCGATTCTCCCGCCTCAGCCTCCCAAGTAGCTGGGACTACAGGCATGTTCCACCACACCCGGCTAATTTTTGTATTTTTTGTAGAGACAGGGTTTCACTATGTTGGCCAGGCTGGTCTTGAATTCTTGGCCTCAAGCGATCCACCCACCTCAGACTCCCAAAGTGCTGGGATTACAGACGTGAGCCACCGAGCCCAGTCTGTTTTTTCATTTTTGTAAAAACGGGTCTCACTATGTTGCCCAGGCTGGACTCAAACTCCTGGCCTTAAACAATCCTGCCTCAGCCTCCCAAAATGCTATGATTACAGGTACGAGCCATTGTACCTGGCTGATATGAACATTTTATTGAGGAAGAAACAAACTGTTCACACACAGGCGCTTCAACACCAAGAGGTAAGAGTGGCCCTCTCGCGAAGGTGAGAGTAAGGTTTATAAAGAGTAAAAGAGGAAGTTCATAGAGCTTCATTTTCTTTTTTTTTTTTTTTTTTGACCTAGAATGCAGGAAAATTTTCATTGTTTATTTTAAAGTATCTTTTCCTTTTAGGGAAAGCAGCTTACTTAGGATGGAGCTGATTGGCTACAATATGTTGATTCATGCTGAAGGAGGAAATAAATTTCAAGAGTTCATTACAATTTAAGTGAGTATTTCAGGAAATGGGGCTTAATGAGTTTTGCTGAGCTGGCTGTGGGCCATTGGCTCAGAGGCAAAGGTCAGCCCCAGCCTCCATTTTGATTTCTATTTTACAGTATATAATCGGTATCAGCGTTAAACAGCAATGCAATCCGAGAATAAACAATAACCAGACTCAGCCACAGGCCAGCGTTCTGCTCCCGGTCTCCCACCTCTCTCGCATCTATCTATAAGACATTGGTTAAGACACAGGCTGGGGGCTTGGGAGCCTCGTTCCTTCCTCCGTAAAACTAGCAATAGAGAGGATGGAGGGCATCAGGTGTGTATTCTTCATTTCTTCATCCCTTCTACTTATGAATTTTATTCTAGCTCTATTCGTGGGGTAAAAGTGTATTACAGCAGATGACCACCATTCCAAATGTGGGCCCTGGCAAGCCCTGTCCTGAGCTACAAAGGCCAAGGCTAGCTACTCCAGCCCTGCAAGTCAGGCTAACAAAATCAGCCTAATCTCATCCTCTGTTGAAAGTGAGAACACAGGCTTCAGAGTGAAAGATACGCAGCCAAGCTTCCAACTCTGGCCTGAAGACATTTGGCAAATCACTGAGGTGTTCTACTTTCCTCCCCTGGAAGATGGTACGAAAATCTATCTAACTCAAAGGGCTGTTGAAAGGACTGAACGAAAGGAAACAAGTTAAGTCAGTACTTAGCACAGCGCCTGGCACAAGATAATAATTGCTTAATAAATGTTGAAGTTCAAATTATGATGTAAATGGATTGTAAGACTGAGGCAAGGACTACGTCCAATATCTTGTTCACACATTTCTTTTGCTGATAGCCCACCCTCTTGCCCACCTGGAGCAGTATGTCAGATGTCAATCAAGAATGAGTGAATGCCAAGCCGAGTGTGGTGGCTCATGCCTGTAATCCCAGCACTTTGGGAGGCTGAGGTGGGTGGATCACTTGAGTTCAGGAGTTCAAGGTCAACCTGGGCAACATGGTGAAACTCTGTCTCTATATTAAAAAATACAAAAATTAGCCGGGCGTGGTGGCACACACATGTAGTCCCAGCTACCCAAGAGGTTGAGGTGAGAGGATTGCTTAAGCCCAGGAGGCGGAGGCTTCGGCGATCTGTGATTGCACCACTGCACTCCAGTCTTGGTGACAGATTGAGACCCTGTCACAAGGAAAATAAAAGAGTGAATGAATCCCATCTACACTCATTAGGATGGCTATTATCCAAAAGAAAAGAAAAGAAGAGAAGAGGGAAGGAGAGGAGGGGAGGGGAGCGCAGAGGAGGGAAGGGAGGGGAGGGCAGCGCAGGGCAGGGGAGGGAAGAGAAGAACAAGTGTTCCAATATCTAGAAGAAATTGGACCCTTTGTGTTGATGTGAATGCAAAATGGTGCAGCTGCTATAGAAAACAGTATGGAAGTTCCTCAAAAAGTTAAAACTAGAACTACCATATGATCCAGCAATTCCACTTCTGGGCATATACCCAAAAGAATTGAAAACAGAAGCTGGGCGTGGTGGCTCATGCCTGTAATCCCAGCACTTTGGGAGGCCAAGGCAGGCAGATTACTCGAGGTCAGGTCACCAGCCTGGCCAACATGGCAAAATCCCATCTGTACCAAAAATACAAAAAAAGATTAGCCAAATGTGGTGGTACATGCCTGTGGTCTCAGCTACTCAGGAGGCTGAGGTGGGAGGATCACTTGAACCCGGGGGGTGGAGGTTGCAGTGAGCCGAGATCGCACCACTGCACTCCAGCCTGGGTGACACAGTGAGACTCTGTCTCAAAAAATAAAATAAAACAAGAATTGAAAGGAGGGGCTTGAACAGATATTTGTACACCCTTGTTCATAGCAGCATTATTTCCTACAGCCAAAAGATGGAAGCAATCTGAATGTCCACTGACGGATGAATAGATATGCATACAATGAAGTATTACTTACCCTTAAAAAGGAAGGAAATTCTAACACATGCTACGACATGGAGGAACCTAGAGGAGATTATGCTAAGTGAAATAAGCCAGTCACATAAAGACAAACTTGTATGATTCCACTTATACAAGGACCTAGAATAAATCATTGAGACAGTAGAATCATGGTTGACAGGCACTGAGGGAAAGGAGGAATGAGGAGTTATTTACTAGGTACAGAGTGTCAGTTTTGCAAGATGAAAAGAGTTCTGGAGATTGGTTGAACAACAATGTGAACGTACTTAACCCTACTGAAGTGTACACTTAAAAATGGATAAGATGGTACATTTTGTGTTATGTGTATTTACCACAATTAAATGTTTTTCATAAAGAGGAATGACTGAATTTGTTGACATATGCCATACCATACATAAATAAACCTTGAAAACATTAGATTGGCCAGGCGTGGTGGCTCACGCCTATAATCCCAACACTTTGGGAGGCAAGGCAGGCGGATCACAAGGTCAAGAGATCGAGACCATCCTGGCCAACATGGTGAAACCCCGTCTCTACTAAAAATACAAAAATTAGCTGGGCATGATGGTGCGTGCCTGTAGTCCCAGCTACTCGGGAGGCTGAGGCAGAAGAATTGCTTGAACCCAGGAGGCGGAGGTTGCGGTGAGCCGAGATCGTGCCATTGCACTCCAGTCTGGGCAACAACAGCGAAACTCTGTCTCAAAAAAAAAAAAAAAATACAAAAATTAGCTGGGTGTGGTGACGTGCACCTGTAGTCCCAGCTACTTGGGAGACTGAGGCAGGAGAATTGTTTGAACACAGGAGACAGAGGTTGCAGTGAGCAGAGATTGTGCCATTGCACTCCAGCCTGGTGCCTGGTGACAGAGTGAGACTCTGTCTCAAAAAAAAGAAAATATTAGATTAGGTGAAAAAAAACAGATGCAAAAGACCACTACTGTATTCTTCTATTTACATGAAATGTCCAGAATAGGCAAACCCATAGAAACAGAAAGTAGTTGAGTAGTTGCTGGGAGTTGAGAAGGAGGAAGGAGGAAAGAGGGGTGACTGCTAATAGGTACAAAGTATCTTCTTGGGGTGATGAAAATATTCTAAAATTAGGTAGCAATGATGGCAACTCTATGAGTATATAAATAGCACTGAATTGTATAAAAGCATACCCCAGAGATATTTCTTGTTCAGTAGCAGACCACTGCAGTAAAGTGAACACTGCAATAAAACAAGTCATATAATTCATGCCTGTAATCCCAGCCCTTTGGGAGGCCAAGGTGGGCAGATCACCTCAGGTCAAGAGTTTGAGACCAGCCTAGCCAATGTGGTGAGACCCTGTCCCTACTGAAAATACAAAAATTAGTTGGGTATGGTAGCACATGCCTGCAATCCCAGCTATACTCAAGGCTGAAGTGGGAGCCTGAATCCAGGAGGTGGAGGTTGCAGTGAGCCGAGATCATGCCACTGCACTCCAGCCTGGTCGACAGAGTGAGACTCTGTCTCAAAAAAAAATTATTTTCCACTGCTCAGAAAATTTACATTTATACTATACTATAGTCTATTAAGTATAGAATGGCATTATGTTGCCGGGTGCTATGGCTTATGCCTGTAATCCCAGCACTTTGGGAGGCCAAGGCAGGCAGATCACAAGATCAGAAGATCAAGATTATCCTGGCTAACACAGAGAAACCCCATCTCTACTAAAAATACAAAAAATTAGCTAAGCGTGGTGGCACGTGCCTGTAGTCCCAGCTATTTGGGAGGCTGAGGCAGGAGAATCGCTTGAACCCAGGTGGTGGAGGTTGCAGTGAGCCCAGATCAAACCATTGCACTCCAGCCTGGGCAACAGAGACTCCATCTCAAAAAAAAAAAAAAAAAAATATCATTATGTCTTTAAAAACAATATACATATCTAAATCATACCTTAATTTAAAAATAATTTATTGTTGGCTGGGCATGGTAGCTCATGCCTGTAATCCCAGCACTTTGGGAGGCCAAGGCAGGCAGATTGCCTGAGGTCAGGAGTTCGAGACCAGCCTGGCCAACATCATGAAATCCCGTTTCTACTAAAAATACAAAAACTAGCCAGTTATGGTGGCACATGCCTGTAATCCCAACTACTCATGAGGCTAAGACAGGAAAAGTGCTTACACCCGGGAGGCAGAGGTTGCAGTAAGCCAAGATTGCACCACTGCACTCCAGCCTCTGCAACAGAGTGAGACACCATCTCAAAATAATAATAATAATAATAATTTATTGCTAAAAATGTTAACAATCATCTGAGCCTTCTTTTTGCAGGTGGAGGGTCCTGCCTTGATGGCTTCTGACTGATCAGGATGGTGATCCCTGATGGTTGTGGTGGCTGTGGCAATTTTTTTAAATACGACAATATGCCACATCGATTAGTCCCTTCATGGAAGATTTCTCTGTAGCATGTGATGCTGTTTGATTTTAAAGGAAGTAGAACTTCCTTCAAAACTGGAGTCACTCAAGCTTGGCTGCTACTTTATCAACTAAATTTCTGTAGTGTTCTCAATTCTTTATTGTGATTTCAACAATGTTTACAGCATCTTTATCAAGAGTAGATGCCATTGCAAGAAACCACTGTCTTTGCACATTTATGAGAAGCAACTCCAGGTCTTGTGCAGTGGCTCATGAGAAGAAGGGAGAAGAAGAAAGAAGAGGAGAAGAAGAAGAAGGAGAAGAAGAGAAAAAGAAGAAGAAGAAACTCCTCATCTGTTCAAATTTTATCATAAGATTGCAGCAGTTCAGTCACATCTTCAGGCTCTCGCTGTTTCTACCAAATCTGTAGTGACTTTCTCCACTGAAGTACTGAACCCTTCAACATCATCCACTGGGATTGGATCACCTTCTTCCATACTTAATTTTGCTATTTTGACCTCCTCTCATGAATCATGAATTTTTTTTTTTTTAAGACAGGGTCTCACTCTATTGCACAGGCTGGGGTTCAATGGCACAATCACGGTTCACTGCAGCCTCTACCTCCCAGGCTCAAGCGATTCTCTCATCTCAGGCTCCTGAGTAGATGGGACTACAGGCATGCACCACCATGTCCAGCTAATTATTTCAATTTCTAGCAGAGATGAGGTCTCACGATGTCACCCAGTCTGAGCTCAAGCGATCCTCCCACCTCAGCCACCCAAAGTGCTAATATTACAGGTGTGAGCCACTGTGCCAAGCCAGATGGTTCTTTTTCTAATCTTAATCTCTATATGGTAGCTAAGATAACTGTTACATTCTCAATAGCATCTAGAATGGTGAATCCTTTTCAGAAAGTTTTCAATTTACTTTGTCCAGATCCATCAGGGGAATTACCACCTATGGCATTTATAGCCTTACAAAATGTGTTTCTTAAATAATGAGACTTAAAAGTTGAAATTATTCCTTGATCCATGGCCTACAGAATGGATGTTTTGTTAGCAGGCATGAAAACATTAATCTCCTTGTACTTCTCCATCAGAACTTTTGAGTGACCAGGCACATTGTCAATTAGCAATAATATTTTGAAAGGAATTGTTTTGCCTGAACATTAGGTCTCAACAATGGGCTTAAAATATTCAGTAAACTATGCTGTAAACAAATATTCTGTCATTCAGACTTTGTCTTATTATGGTGCACAGGCAGAGTCAATATAGCATGATTCTTAAAGACGTTGGGATTTTTGGAATGATGAATGAGCACTGGCTTCATCTTTAAATCAGCAGCCGAATTAGCCCCTAACAAGAGGGCCACCATGTCCTTGGAAGCTTTGAGGCCAGACATTGACTTCTCTCTAGCTATGAAAGTCCTTGGTGGCATCTTATTCCAATATAAGGCTGTTTCATCTACATTGAAAATTTATTGGCCGAGTGCAATAGCTCACAGCTATAATGCCAGCACTTTAGGAGGATGAGGCAGAAGGATTACTTAAGGCCAGGAGCTCAAGACCAGTCTAGATAACATAGCATCTAGATTACATCTCTACAAAAACTTTTTTTTAATTAGCCACGGCTGAGCACAGTGGCTCATGCCTATAATCTCAGCACTCTAGGAGGCCCAAAAGGCTGGATTTCTTGAGCTCAGAAACTTGAGGCCAGTCTGAGTAACATGGCAAAATCCCATCTCTACAAAAAATACAAAACATTGTCCGAGGATGGTGGTGCAGATAATTGTCTATGGTCTCAGCTGCTCAGAAGGCTGAAGTGGAAGGCTCACTTGAAACTGGAAGGCAGAGGCTTTGGTTAGCAACCTCTGCATCACACCACTGTGCTCCAGCCTGGGCGGCAGACTCAGTCTCACTCTGGCCGAGTGTAATAGCTCAAAAAAAATCATTTAGAAAAGTGGCATTGATAGACTTCCTCCAAGGTTTGTTGCCACAGACCTTCGGTTTGTAAAAAATATAGTATCTGCACAGCACAGTAAAAAGAGGCATGCCTATAATTTAAAAGGTTAACTTTTGGCTGGGAATAGTGGCTCACACCTGTAATCCCAGCACTTTTGGGAGGCCAAGGCAGGCAGGTTGCTTGAGCCCAGGAGTTCAAAACCAACCTGGGCAACATGGCAAAACTGTGTCTGTACAAAAAATACAAAAAAAAAAAAAAAATACCTGCATGTAGTGGTGCTCTCCTGTAGTCCTAGCTACTCAGGGGACTGAGGTAGGAGGATCACCTGAGCCTGGGAAGTCAAGGCTGCAGTGAGCTGTGATTGTACCACTGCACTCCACCCTGGGTAACGGGAGTGATACTCTGTCTCAAAAAAAAAAAAAAGGATGTAGGGGGTAACTTTTATCATAACTTTTATCTCAATAAAGCTGCCATAGAAAATGAACAAAAGCTGAGTGCAGTGGCTCACACCTGTAATCCCAGCACTTTGGGATGCTGAGGTAGGTGGATCACCTGAGGTCAGGGGTTCGAGACCAGCCTGGTCAACATGGTGAAACCCCATCTCTGCTAAAACATACAAAAATTAGCCAGGCATGGTGGCTCACACCTGTAATCTCAGCTACTTGGGAAGCTGAAGCACAAGAATCGCTTGAACCTGGGAGGCAGAGGTTACAGTTAACCAAGATTGTGCCACTGCACTCAAAAAAAAAAGAACAAATGAAAAGTCTCAAAAAAAATGAACAAATGAAGCCCTAAATTATAACCAGATCATTGGGGCTGTTTTAATTCAGTGTCAATCTCAGCAGAAAGGGGATTGTCCTGAGTGACCACGAAATTTTGAGATTTGCCGCTAAACACCTGCCAAGCACTGCAAGAGGCCCTAGGCTTTTGCAGCTTGCCACAGGACTCACACCTCTCTGGAGCAACAGGATCACCTAACTATACAGTCTTTTCAGGACATTAGGGCTAGAAGTAGTACATCTCTTCCCCTAGAAACGCCCTACAGGGAATTCAGTTTACTACTTGCCATTATAATGACATAATTTCGT